ACGACTCTGGCACAAAATGTGGAATTCTCTACCTCCATTTTTACAATCTGTTGGATTTAATAATTCTTTCAAAAGACTTTACAAGAAACATCTTCTCTCTCTTTATAACGCATAATTTATTTTAAGACCACACCTATATTACTAATACTCCTTTTTTTTTTTTTTTTTTTTTTTTTTTTTTTCCCCTTCTTCAAGTATATGTTGTTATTACTTCTGCGCCTGGTGCATTCAATTGTCAAGCCTTACTGGCTTTTACGGATGCACCATTTTCCATTTATATTTTGAATGCTGTTATGTCAATTTTATATGTAATTTTGATATTTTTACATGTTATGAAATTCCATATTTTATCTTTGTATATATTGTTATGATGATGGAAATAAATTTCATTTCAATTCGATATGTAAACGCCAACATTATGTGCACACCAACTCCAGACTAGCAACTATAATAATAATTAGTCAAGTTCGAAATAGCTAGAAACAAGCGTGACCTTAATTCATAACTCCGAATCTATCATCGCTCGTGTCTTCTGTAGGTCGGGCAGATAGTGACGTCACAATTTTTGTTATATCCTTCTTGGTAATTTGGCGCTCTTTGACTGCAGTAATGTCAATTTACCATAGTGAAAATTCCCTGCACGTGCTGCTACTTTCGCAGACGATTCGCTTGATGAATCTGTAATCTCAACGAGTGATTTGCCTTAAGTCTTAAGAGGACCCTTTAGAGAGCATGTTCACGACTGCCCATAATGTTTATATCAAGAGCCATTTCATGGAAACGTAGCTATTCTTGTATTCTTTAGGGTTGTCGGGCATGTTGGTTTAGAAAAAAAAGGTTGGAAAAAAATACATTGCTCCCATTTTCGTAATGCGATTACATGGATGTTTTAGTCATGTCAATTATGGGTTTAGTCTGACTGGTATGTCGTAGGTCGTACAGAAAATGTAGCTTTAGTCTGTACAACGCCTTCAGAATATGCTTCTCCAGCCCTTATAGAAGAAAATTTGTAACTGTTCTTTCAGCTTAAATAGGCATGTGCCGATATGCTGTCAAGGAAAAATTGCAATTTCTGCGTAAGTTTTGTCATTTTCAAAGTTTCGGGCTAGCGACTTTCAAATGTCACATATATTGTGTAATCTCTGTTCATGTAGTCAGTAGCACATTGTTTTTCATGGTTTCATTTGTTATTGCTGTGTAGCATTTTGTGTATTTGTACTGATCAAAAGATAAGCCCTAGAAAAAATAAGCCTTAATAATATTATGATTTAAAACATTACATGTATATATCTTAAACATGACGATAGCGTTTCCATGGCTTCATATTCAGATCAACAACATGGTGTTTTCTTCAACAGATTATTGCTTTTGTGTCATTAGAAAACCGAAACTAATGACAATTAGCTAATGGGTCATTAAGATGTATTTTGTCGAGAAGATTAATGAATCAATTAATTACATAATTGTATTTATGATGATTATAACAACACGAAGTACACATATAAAACCATGACAATTGCATTGACGTATACAAGGTTCGCAAACCATTCAGCCAGAAAAGATGAATGGTGAAACATAATGACTCATGATCATTTTATTATTTCATCTCCACTAAAAAGTTCTTACAAATTCCATTTCTTTCTATGCTTGGTTGGCTCTACAATGGTAGCATTACAATCGTGTCTTAATGACGTCACAAACAACCGAATCATAAGCCTCGTCATCCTAAATACATTCCCAGATTTACTATCAAGTGTGGGACACCCCCCCCCCCCCTCAAATGACCATGTTAAGAAGCGACCGAGTCACAGTCGGATATTGAACCTTGGGTTTAATTTGATTAAATTTGATAATTTTGTCTTTGCCCGACTGACTGTGTTATGATAAAGATTCCAGGCTATTCATAGATTGCATTATTCCTGATCACACGGCTCGCCTCCTGTGACTTCAGTTCTCAGAGAATTGACTCGGCAAGCTATTCTCGATTTTGATCGCCATCCCCAATCAGATAAACTTATGAATATACAGTATACAGGATACTCCATGAAGATAACTATGGAAATTAAATGTTCCGATATATAACTGTAGCTTTTAATTATTTTAATTATTATCTTTTGCTCGATCTGGTATTGATCGCAATCTTAATAGCTCTGATGTGTTAATTCTTAACGTCAGTATACTATCATCCAGATTGTCAACGGATTGTGTGATACACATAATCAACAAGCATTATCCCGTGGAATAATGATATTGTTTAAGAATGAATGACTTCGTCGTTTATCCTTTGATAGACAATTTCTATTGCATTATAATTCATTTCGATTCTTTGGAATACGATTAAATGAAAAATTATAATTTTAGAATGGACTGAATTTGTTAGGTGTTATGGGTATGACGAAGCCTTTTTTTCCAGACCGTTCATAAACAACCCCGTCTGATGTCGGTATCACGTCAGGGAGACCCTTTATTGTCAATAACACTTTGCATAGTGAGTTCCATCCCATGTGACTGATTAATATACAGGTGAGAGACTCCCTGACGATAAATGAAAATATTAATTGACGAAGACGTCTAGCAAGAGGATAGGCCATTGGGTCTGCACTTTACGATGATGATGGTGACGATGAGGATGATGATGACGGTTATAAAACTGATGATGGCGACAATGCCGGTGATGATCATGATGATCAAATAATATAGCCCGAAATGAAGAATATGGTGTTTATATGGTTATGATGTCACTATAATCCCCTGCATTCCGTCTCTACACTGTCTTGTTCCTAATGTTTCTTCTCTTTTCACTCTTTTTCTCTCTGTCTGTCTGTCTCTTTCTAACTCTAGCCCCCACACACTTACTCACAAATAAACTCTCCCCCTCTCTTAATATACTTGTCATTACTGTAGTAAATGTAAGGCTGCGTGATAAGTAAGTGCGACTTGTGATCCCTCAGTGTGTCTACATCTACCTGAGATGTCTTCGTATCTTTACGTTTATACTCGCCTTTTTCTATCCCCGCTCTAACCTTTTCTGCTCTTTCTACACATCCCTCTTTCTTTCTCTCTCTCTTTCTTTTACCTTTTCTCAGTATTTTTCCCTCCCTTTCACTTACACACATACAATACAAACTTACCAACAAGCGGATAATTCATTGTCAAAATTGTTAAGAATTTTGTACATTTATTTATAAATTTCATTTATGATGTACGTATATTTTTATGAGATAATCACTTATTGATAGAGTCACAATCGCTTGCCAAACCTTCTTTCTATTTTGCACGATACGAACGATAATTTGGTGGTCTTGGTTTTTTTTTATCGCGATGCATTAGCTTGAAAATGATATATGAAAAACAGTGACATTCGATTAGAAAAGGAAAAGAGTGAAAGCACCGCGTCAATAACGCAGTCCTCAAACACAAGCTGGGTAGCTGTTAAGCCTAAACCGATCTTCAGCCACACATTTGCACTTAAATTGTGTGGTAACGAAAGTGACCTGTTGACAGTAGAATTGGGAATCTTGTTGTTTGCCTCTGTGGTAGATGTGGTTGCCACCATGGAAGAGGTCTCTATGGGTAGAGTCCTCTTTCAACATCCAACATCAAGCATGTCAGAGTAGACTATACTTCTGTTATGTCTGTCTTCTTTAGTGATGTGTGAAGAGAGATGACATAATTTATTCTTCCCGCATTTATCCATCCCTAAGGATGCTCAATCCAGGGACAATATGACCTGTGACATGTCTCTGCTCAAACGCCTACAGAGTATATTCATGTTATTCCACTGGCTTTAGCCGTCTTGTCAAATCAGTCAACGTCACCCAAAGTATTGAATTAATTTCTTCTATATTATATGCCATGTTAAGTTAAGCTGACATTCATCTAGATAAGGAGAGGCAAAATCTAGTGTAACGGAAGTAGTCTCGGATCTGTGATTTGAATTCTCTACTTTTAGCACCAGCTTAAACAGCTTTACTATATCATATTCATAGATATTTACATAAGCAATGATGAGGAATTACTATGTGTTATTTTTGCAACAATAAACAATTTGCAGATGAATCTGTGTCTATAAGTACAACCCTGCGATATGGTGTCAATATCTCTCAAGTTAGTGGATCTTGTATGCAGACACTAGGTTCTTTGGTATTGCTTTGCAAACATCGACCAATATTTTATCCGACCCCATGCTCTCTAATGGACTGGGACATCAGATGTGATATGAAGACCCTCTTTGTCGGTTTGATGACTGAGTAAATGTAAAGTTTTGTTTATCGCCCGCGTCCTTGAATTATACATCCCACTTACTACGGAGCTAGGGTGATAGTAACCCTATCTCCATACTCCATTCTCTTCGCCCTCGTAGAATGCACTAGTAATCTATTATGATAATGTGGCGTATAGTCGCGATGAATTATTTGCCGGTGGCCATCGGCACGCGTGCATATATATATGTATTTATATATATATTTATATTATATGGGATATGCGCACGAACACCATTAGGACAATGATTAAGCGGGTCGTGTAGCTTGATAATCACCGAGGCGAACTGGGCGAAGGAGAGGAACGAATCGATGGGGTGGCAGCAGGGGCTAGGGGCGAAGTAATTTGGGGATGACGAAGCAACTACGGTGCTGTAGACAAAGGGTTTGCGAGGAAGAAGTTGAGGAGGGGGGGGGGGGGGGTGTAAGATTTGTGGGCAATTCATATCCATCTGAAGAGAAAACATGTGGAGAGTGAAATCATATTCTGCACCAAAAAAAGAAATCAGTGCAGTAAATCATGGGCTCATGGACGCTGCTCTTAGCTTACGCTTTAACCTCAAATCACGCAGATGAAAGTCAGTCAGTGAAAGAAACCGATGCCAATGGAAAACGTCTTAGAAAAAGAGAGAGATGGAGAAAGAGAGAGACGGAGAAAGAGAGAGAGAGAGAGAGAGATAAGGAGAAAGAGAGAGAGAGAGAGAGAGAGAGAGAGAGGGAGAGACGGGTAAGATAAGGATGTGTGGAGGAAAAGGTAAATAGAAACAACATATCATGTGATTAAGTTAAACAGGAATTGGGAGAAAGATCCAGTTACACAACCAATACTTATTTATCCGTTTGATCTTTCGTTTTTTATTAAATGAATGAGATATGTGGATGGGAATGATATAAGAGTAAAAAAGATACGGATATCCAGATATGAGAAGAGAGAGAGAGAGAGAGAGAGAGAGAGAGAGAAATAAAGATTCCCCGAGCAGAGAGTCGGCCAGCCAAGAGCTCAAGTGGATGTGATATGACGTCATTCTAGGAGATGGCAGCTCCGCAATAAACGCTGTGCATATTTACCGACCAAGATTTGTCTATATCTCGAGAGCTAGGATGTAAACTTTATGTCCCTTTCGATATCTCCTTTTTTCTATTATCACCACTTGCCGTCGCGGCCCGTCAGATCGAAATATTGGGGATATTAGAATCACGCCGGCCGACACTGGTGGCGAATTCGTGTCATGCCACCACTACAACCCCCCCCCCTACCTCGTGTATCATAGAGACTGATATCTAATTTAACCGCCTTTTTTCATGCGTATCTCCTTCCTCAATTTGGTTGTCTATTTCTCTCTTTTGTTCCCCCCCCCCCTCTCCCTCTCTGTCTACACTTCTTCATTTTCTGCACGTAATGTTTAAAGGCTACTTTGGATTCTCTCTCTCTCTCTCTCTCCCTCTCTCTTCTTCTTGGCTTGTATATGAAAATTGATATTATTTCAAACATGACTACGTCATCACTATGCGTTTGAATAAACATACCATGTTAAACAAGGTATTACGTCATCCATAATAATACAGTGCATACCACTGGTTGAAGATCTCATTGAAAAAAAGGAACTTATGATGGATACGCCCGAAAGACTTATGGAGTACATGTACAAGTGTTGTTGAAAAGTGTAGGAAACAAATGGACCGATGAAAGGGGAGAAAGAGAGAGAAAGAGTATCAGTGTGATATCATGTTGTATGATAAAACATCTTTCATAATCGTTATTTTGGTTTTTTGGGGTTCTTTGCCATAATTTACCAACGAACACAACTGCCTCCTCCTGACCGTATGGCCCTACAGATAAATAAATCCATATAATTCTAAGATATGCTTACTTACTCTACTTATGTTTATTTATCATATTGATTTATTGTTTTGTTTCTTTTTTCTTCTTTAAGGTTTTGGTATGACCTCTCCGTCCACGACATGGGGTCGAGCGATGCTGATCGTCTATGGGTTACCCGGATGTGCCGCCTGTATCCTATTCTTCAACATATTCCTCGAGCGCCTTATCACGCTCCTGGCCTACGTCATGAAACAGTGCCATGAGCGGAGGATACGCAAGATCAAGGATCAGCACCAGAACGGCCAAGCCAAAAATGGCGGACGGCGGCCTTCGGAACAGTCGGACGACGACTTGGAGAACTGGAAGCCTTCTGTGTATTGGGTGTTGCTCTACTTGGGGATATCAGCCACTGCCATTGCCTGCACTGCTTCCGCGGTTTATGTCCATGCAGAAAAAGATTGGAGCTACCTTGACAGCTTCTACTTCTGTTTTGTCGCTTTTAGCACGATTGGTTTCGGGGACTATGTGACAAGTCAGGACTCTACGTACGATCATCAGTACCTGTATCGATTTGGTAATTTCATCTTCCTAACAGCGGGAGTGTGTTGTATCTATTCTCTCTATAACGTAGTTTCTATCGTGATTAAACAGTTCTTGAATTGGGCCATCAAGAAACTGGACTGTCGTTGTTGTGTCCGGAAGCGACCGCGGCCGAGACGGAACGCAATCACTCCCGGTCATCTTCAAAGACAGATGAACTCTGCAGGGAAACGAAACAATGGCCCCGGTAATGTGGAGGTCACTGATTATGATAGCGAGACAGACGGGCGTAGGATGTCTGATGAGATGATCAGTATGAAGGACTTCTTGTCAGCAAATAAAGTGTCGTTAGCCGTCATGCAAAAGCAGCTTTACGAAACATCCCAACACCGACACCACTCCAGCAGGAACGGTGTGGGACAAGGTCTAAGCCAGGGTGTAGGGGGTCTTGCTATGCTTAATAACAAACTGCAAGAGACAGACAGGCGCGATTGACAATTATTGAAGAATGTCAATCGCCTTTAGAGAAGAATATATCGCAGCAAAGTCATTACCTAAATTAGTTGCCTTCATCAAGCGAGGATAAAATACCGATGAGTGTCTAAATTCATTTTTACAGAATGATGCGGCTGCAATGGGATAAAGCGTATGGATGGAAACAAAATTTAGAAATTCAGTTTAAACCATTCACAGAGAAATCACGTTCGCGTTCATCATTCCACTCATATGGAATATTAGCAGCAAAATGACATGGAAAGTAATCAGATGATTGCACCACCTACCACGCAACAAAGCCCTCACATGGACGGACGATGTTGGTCCCGCAGCCATGGTAACGGAAAGCAATCGACTTAATGGCCTATGCAAATGTAATCGACATTACCAAAGGAACACGTAAAGAGCGTATACTGAAGCCCGTTGTCATGGCGTCTCCACAACCCAACTTTGTGACTTTGTTCAAAAAGCGCATGTTTGGATAGTGCGTTTATTTACTAGAAACACAATCTGCAACATGGAGGGAAATTAAAACTTTGATCGCGTAAATGGAGATGATAAATTAGGCAAGATGCTAGAACGTAAATCGACTGATCTTGATGTTACACTTTCTTTGTGAACGAGTGGTCAATTGTAATTTATAAATTACTAACAGGTACACACTAAAAGGATATTCCGCGTCGAAGTCTCTAGACATTATGAGCAAAAATGATTGATGAACGATTACAGGATAAGCATTACAAAAACTTGAAAAGAGAACGAAAAAAAATTAGTGGTTGAATCATTTACTCGACAACCCTACGAAAGGGTAAGAATTACGGCTGAACTAAATAGCATTACCTGAAACTGGACAATGTGATCTCATGAAGGAACCTCTGTCTGAAGAACATTTACCAGGATCAAGCAATCACAGCATGGTGAAAGAAGATCAAAATCATCCATCGAACAAAGTTCACATCTGCTTGATCAAAGTTTAAATCCAAATATTTCAATACTCACCTCGTGCCATTCTATAGAGTAACGATCAAAAATGTAAGATGAATAGATTTACTTGACAGAGACATTTCTAAAGTTATTTTTTTTGTTCTGGTACTGGAAGTGTATTACGAAGAAAAAAAAACACCATTGGCTTTAAACGACTGTTAACTGTTTATCAAACACTATAGATTTTTTTTTCCACTCAAACCACTGGACACATATTTTGATATTTTGATATTTCAGTATAAGTTTCGTTTCATTCAATGAGAATTTGTTTGTTACCATTACCAGAACTCTAGATTATCTTTAATAGTGCATCTATTTATACATTTTAGTCATCCACATTGATAAGCCATGTAAGGATAAGAAGGCTGAATTGGGGGTGAGTAAGAAAAGATAAATATCAGAACTATGTGCATCTTTGTTATTAGAAGCCTCGTATTGCATGACTGTTAAAAGCGTCATGACCTATGAACCACAGTTAACAGTGATTCAGATGAAGATGAAATGTCATAACAAGGGAATAGTGCACCCCCGAATTTGAACAAAATGCTTGCACTAAAGTATAACCATATTTGGCATTTAATACATTAATATGCGCAGTGTAGCAGAGAGTAGATATGCTAAGCCTAAAAGCCTTTTCAAAAGAGTTACGTAATCAACTATAGTATGCAAATATTAGGGAATTTAGAAGAATGGTTCACAAAGTGACCTTATATCAATTTTTCATGAACAAACATACATTTTCATACATGTATATATATATACATATATATATATATATATAGTTACGTTTGTTTAGAATAATTACAGTTAAGTTTCTTAAAGAGCAGTGTTTCTTTATTCCGCACTGCGATCAATATAAAAATGTATGAATAATGTATTATGTAGTCAATTGAATGCGTTATTTTAGCCTTAAATGTATTTAATTCAAAGATATTTATAAGTATTTATTTGAGGAAGTATGTGATGTGTTTTGAGGAGCATCACAACGAGAACTTTTCAAGAAATTAGAAAGATTATATCCCATGGCCCGTATTCTAATCATTTGTTAACTTCTGACACAATGTTTGGTGGTTCTATTTCACAGTACGGCATGGTCGGACTGACAATAGTAATTACTTTTAGGTAGAAAGGAAGATAAAAGGTACTTAAAATTGTTCAGAAATGTAATGAATGTTTACTAAATGGATAATATTGTTTATTTTGACAAGAAAATTACTATGTGTTAGGAATAGCCTTAGCATCATTTACATCGTCATAAATATAGGAGTGATTTCAAATAAGATTTTGTTTGGTACTGATAGTGTAAATTTGGTTTCAATCACGTTAAGACTCATTTTCTAAAATCTATATTCAAAATTTGAATATTACCTTCAAGTTTGACGTAACTCTAGTTTGATGTCTCTGGAAAAAAACACGTTTGCATTTTTGCTTCATGGACCTAGCTTATTTCTATAGGGTCGGGTTAATTCAGTGAAGGCATAAGTTATCAATTGCAGTTCTAAACAAGAAGGTTCTATGAGCTAGTCAATTTGTCCGTTTTCTCTCTCTCAATGACTCTTTAATAAGTCCGTCAAAATATATTAGAACATCATATTATACGATATGCTAATGTTATCATATAATAATCATAATGAAAACATTTGTATTTAAATGAAGTTGCAGATTGCAATCTTTAAAAAAAATTTATCTTAGCAAATTCCATGATCACACTTCTTTAAACATGATTAATGAAATAACGACTGGGAATGTTGAGCTCTTAGGAACAAAGACTTATTCAAATCTATGTAGTCTACAATTAAAATCGAAAATGAAAACAATGAATTTCGTTAGCACTAGATGTGAATATACATTTATTGGGGTGTGTCATAAAACTGTACGGTTTGACAAAGAATTCGCGTGGATTCCTGGTTATATAAGTTTTTTTACAACACGACATTCGAGCGAAAATCTATTTTATTACTATTTAAGTAAATTAAGAAAAGTGTCGGGCCTCCAACAAATCCTTGCCGAATACCATTAACCAACGCAGCAGAATTAGACATTTGCATCTAAAGAATATTGAAAACAAGAGGATGAGGATCAGATCAAGGGCGTCGACTTGGGGAGGGGTGGGGGGGGGGGGCTGACACTCTCTTCCTTTCGACGAATCCGATATTGTTGTTGGCTAAATTATATGCTCTTTGTACCATTGATTATGTTGCGTGTTGCCGACTTTTCGGCTCGCTTGTCTGTAAAGTCAGTCTCACGCCCCCTGTAAATGTTCAAGCGACGCCCCTCATCGTAGTATAGGTATGAAATGAGTATATGCACGACTGTGTTCTAAAAGCAGCGGGTTACATGTGTTTAATGATAGCAATACAGCAATTATATTTAAAAATACAGAATCAAGCATTCTTTAACTATTTATATTACTATATCTTAATAGATGAACTACTTCATGAAAATAAAACATATTATTTGTCCTATTCTTTTATCGTCGGAATATTTGATGCGGTATTTGTGATAAAATTCGAAAGCAAGTTGCCTGTATTTTTGTCGGACATTTTTTATTAGTAAACTACTTAAATAGTAATTGAAATGATTCCATTGTAGTATTTAAATATGGAAACCTTACAAATGTAGAATTTAAATATTCCATCAACGATGAAAATATTCGTATGACAAAAAAATGCTTTGAAAAGTAGTTTAAAGTCAGAGGTTAATGTTATTTTCTATATTCATTTCAAATTCTATACATGTATATATGATATATTTTCTTCCACGCCGAACTATATTGTGTTCTTATCTTCTATTCCGATAGTTTATACCAGACGATTATTTTGATGAATTCCATGATTTTTTATAACCGAACAAATGTGATGATTATTGTCATGTCAGTTATATTTGTGACGCTATTCCTGATTGGCATAATATGGATTTTCGTCAAATTTTGCCAGTCAATTCCTTTTTTTTTGTATGAGAGTACTGAATAATAGGTTGTGAGTGAGAAAAATATTTGTTTCTTCTTCTAAATATCAATGAAGCTGTGGAAGGAGATTGCTCTGTGCGATTTCTTTCTTTTAAATAATATGTTATATAATCTTGCATTGTAAAACACGCCATCTAACTAATTAATCGTTTACCAGAATATCACATAAGATATTATATATTTAGTGGTATAAACTTTGAACAAATTCGAACAAATAGATTGCGGTTGATTGCACTTGATTTCAGTGCAATATAAAGAGATACTTAGTTATGGTTTATGATAAGCTTATACGTCGGACATAATGAGGTAAATAATTGCGTATATTTCAATAAAATATAGTGAGAATTACTCGTCTTGATAACTGATACAGTGATTTTAAATAACGTTAATGCCTTCGGACCAATGTATAGAATAAATATTGTTGTGGTTCAGCGAAGAAACAAACTAATATTCTAAAATTGGCAGTGTTTGGACTTTCACGAACAAATGAGATCAAATTAAAACAAATAAAATCAAATGATAGCGATATCTCGAACAAATATAGATCAATCTTTTAAATATAGTTTTATATTTATATGCATTCACTTCTATTAAAGAACAATGAAGACTAGGGCTTCTATTAGTAACCTTTTGTCTTCTTAAGAATATTTTAGTCATAATGTTTTTTGCCCTACCATTATGGTAGACGATTAAAATCAAGAAGAAAAGGGACATAGCACCTCTTTATTGTTCGTCTTGAGTAACGAAGCAGACACTGAGTTGTAGACACATTTGAGAAATATCTGTTTGAGTACCCTCTTATCTATTTCGAAACAAGTATCTATCGACTCCTTACTTAATAAAGGCGTGGTACCTTAAATATATTCTGTTATTAGACGGAGAGCATCTCTGCAGTTTGCTTTCTTTTCAGACGTTGATATTGATTTGCATACTATTGGTTTGATTACATCTTATTATATGTCAGTGTGTGTGTATGTATAGATAACCTAAGTATATCATCATGATATAGATATTTAACAAAAAACATAACTTGAGAGCCTGTATACAATCTTATATTTCCATTCTCCGCTCGCTTTCACGA